AATCCAATACAGCTCACCATCCAAATAACAGCATTCCTACAGTAAAGCATGAGGTGGTAATATCCTGTTATGGGGGTGTTTCTCTGCAGCAGGGACTGGAGCGCTTGTCAGGATAGAAGGAAAAATGGATGGGGCAAAATACCGTCAAATTCTTGAGGAAAATCTGCTGCCCTCTACTAGAAAGTTGTCAATGGGAAGAAGGTTTACCTTCCAACATGACAATGACCCAAAGCACACAGCAAAACTGAGTGGTTGAAGGCAGAGCCGATCCTCCCTATACACAAAGTACGCATGTTGCGTAGGGCCCCCGAAACACCAGGGGGTCCCCTTGCTGTCAAAGATTATTTAATTTTAGTTTCATTTTTGAATTTGGTCAGCGGTTATGAAAACATGAATGTTCCTTTCCTTTAATGCGGTGTGCTGTCACCCTTTCTGCGTAACATCCAAATCAGTCAAATCATGTAACGTGACTGTCATATTCAGTCTCCTGCCATTCTTGCTCGATACTAAAAAAAGAGTTAAAAACGCACTGAGCTGCAGAGGAGACACTGTTCCCCAAGCTCTTTCTGTGTGCGCGATTCAAGACGGACTGAAACACGAACAAATATAGGCTACTTTGCACTTTGATGCCAAAATATGTCAAAATGTCCATCTTGGTGAGTTTTCAGTAAACACAGTCAGTTATGTCTTACGTGAAAATAAACAGTTTGAAAAGTAATGGAATGCTTATCATCTGTTATGCTTGTCCGTCATCATCTGTTAATCAAGCAACAAAAGAAAATGAGAGAATTATTCACTGCTCTTCACTGAATATTGTATAACTTTGTTATGAATCATATGTTTAATTTATATGGTGAAGTCTATGCAGTGCTTTATTTTTTACATTTGATTACTTTAATGAATTTCTGTATAGTAGGCTACTATAGGCTAAATTCTTTAATTGTTAAAATTAATATAAGCTGATATAAGCGGTAGGCTATTTCAGAAAGGAAAATTTAAAAGATGAAAGAATAATTAGGGAGAATAAAAAAAAAAAAAGATTAATATATTGCTATTGTGTGAATCATATGTAATCATTTAATAAATTAAAAAGTAACTGTAATCTGATTATGAGTATTTTAAAATGGAATATAATAAAATTACAAGTACTTTATTTTTTTTTAAAATTTGCTTATGTACTCCAGATTGCATGTGATCAGTTACTACCCAGCACTGGACTCACACAGAAGAAAACACTTTTTTTTTTTTTGAGCCAAAATGTAAAATTCACATGTAAATAGATTAATCGCACACAGATTTCATGCAAACAAGATCGCCTTGACATTGATAGGACCTTAATGATCACAGCTAAATCAGTCAATCAGACATGCATGACCCCACTTATGTGTTATAAACACATGCAGAGATACACACAAAGAAAATAAGCATGCATTTCTTAGTCTGCATGGCAGTTTGCATGCTGATTTTCCTGTGAACAAGGTGAACAGATGGTGAAAAGGGGGCTGAAATGACAAAAAAGAAACACAAAGAGGAGGTAGTTATGAACTGATTTATTGAAGTAGGTGTTAAGTTAAAGTGAAATTTGTAAATTAATTTCAGAAAATGTTAGTATTTGATGTCTCCCTTTTGTTTTAATGGCAGCAAGACTTAAGGAAGAAATATATACACTACCATTCAAACTTTTGTGGGCACTTTTTTTTTTTTAAGAAATTGTTTTATTTAGCAAGGATGCATTAAACTGATCAAAAGTGACAGTAAATATATTTATAATGTAACAACATTTCAAATAAATGCTGTTATTTTGAGCTTTCTATTCATCAAAGAATTCCAGAATTTTCCAGAATAATATTAAGCAGCACAACTGTTTTCAGCACTGATAATAATAAGAAATGTTTCTTGAGCACAAAATCAGCATATTAGAATGATTTCTGAAGACTGGAATAATGGCTGCTGAAAATTCAGCATTGGCATCACTGGAATAAATTACTTTTTTAAAACGTTAAAATATTTTATATTATTATAATATAATATATTTAAATATATTAAAATATAAAACAGTTACTTTACATTATAATAACATTTCACAAAATTACTTTACTGCATTTTTGATCAAATAAATGCAGCCTTGGCGAGCATAAGAGCCTTCTTTAAAAAGCATTACAAAATCTTACCGACATCAAACCTTTGAATGGTAGCGTATATTTGGAACATTCTCAAATCATGTTGTCCAGCATGATTTGAGAATGTTCCAAGCAGCTTCAGAGGAAGAAGGAACATCTGATCATCTGTACAAAAGTGTTCATTTAAACAGCATTAGAAACGTGGTTACATCTGAGTAGTCAACTAAAAATAGTGCAGAACTTCAAAAAATAGATTATCATGTTTTATTTTAATTAAATCTGTTTTGATTAAATCTGAACAAAGCTTAAGCCCATGTTCACGCAATGTTATTGAAGCGAGCAGCTCCTACAACTAACAACTATTTCAAAACCCAGATTTAACATAGCAGTAGTCTGTGAGGTAGATCAGACCCGATCCAGCACAGAAGATTCCAAGCTTGGCATAAAAAGTACTTTTTAATAGACAAAAGTATCTACACCCAAACAAACATAAAAAGAAATGGGTTATATATGTTCTATGCTTGTTCATGTTCTCAGGTTGCATTTCTCATTTTCTCTTTCATTGTTACTGCACTGCAAATTTCAAAGCAGTTGAATGTCAGACCAAGCATGTTGTCTATGCAAAGCCAAGTCACCGCATTTCCATACTTCAAGGTGTCTCCAGAAGAAAAGTCTAACATGCAAAAGTATGTGTCTATCTATCTATCTATCTATCTTTCTATCTACTAGGGATGCTCCGATCCGCCTTTTTCGCCTCCAATACCGACACTATCAGAGTGTCCGATACTAGGGTTCGGTATTGCCCGATACCGATCCGATACCAGTGAAGTTTTTTCCCCTCATTTAAATAAATGTAGAATTTATATATCTCTGTGTGTGGAACTGATAATCATTCTTTCACAATCTACTAGCAGGGTGTCTACAGATATGAACAAGTTAAAT